TGATTGTGCACCTACAACCTACAGGCTATGCCATCGAAAAGCTTTCTTCAGGCACTAAATAGTTTGGCTTCTAATTTCGTCTACGATTAAAATCATTCGCGGTACTGCTGGAAATTTTATTTCATTTATTTATTTTTACTTTTAAATCGCCAATCGATAACTCACTTATTTTTTCTGCTTCATTCTGAACCGTGTAGGCTAGATTAATATGGTTTTTGTAGAGAACATATTTGTACTCGATATGCATGCACCATTAGTCCACAAACATGATTCTCGATTCCGCTCGAGGGTGGATCTACTTAATAAATTAGAGTTCACGTAAATGATGGTTGTTTGATCCTAAGGATAGGGGATTGAGTCCCACTTGTACTTTTTTGCCGTGCGGCTTTCTTTTCCCTTTTTATTCTTTCTTTCATTTGTTTTCCAATGCACATGAACAATCCCTTATTTCTCTCTTTTTAACTTTTTCGTAATATCTATTTCTATCTCCCTATTTTCAATGGGTAAAATCATTTACATCCCCCAAATTTAGTCTTAAAATCAAACTCATCTTCCAACTTTAAACAATTGTCATTTTCATCCTACGCAATATATATTTTACCTTTGACATTTTCAACTCTCCGTATATGTAATACTTTTTTTATATTATTTAGATATTTTTATTTATTCATAAGTTAAAAATATTATATATTATTAACATAATATAATCTAAGTTCAATAACATTATAAATAAAATAGTTATATTATGAATTTATTACAAAATATATTGCTAATTTATTATTATTATTTTAATATTATATATATTAAAATGCATATAATGTATGTCGGTGTGCGTGTGATTTTAAGTTCCACTATTTTTATTATTCTCTATGTCTATATAAATTTGTGAGTTTTGATTGTTAATACTAATTTTTTTCTAAATTTTAATTAAATTTCATGTAAAGTGTAAATAGATAATTTTTGAAAAATTATTATAAAATTTACTGTAATTTATGCCCATTATTTTTTTATTACCTACATTGTATAATTTATAAAATTACTCTCTTTTATTCTCAATTTTGTAAATAGATTGAGTTTTGATTGCTATTAATAAAATTATTGATACGAGTAAATTATTTATTATTATTTTTTATTTTTCTCATTTATTTCACTATTGAACATCATTAACTTATATGCTTGACTACTACTTCTCATTTTTTTTGGTTTTGAAAAAGTTTTTTTAATTTGTCTACAGGTAAGTCGATAATATAAATTAAAATAAAAAATTCTTATATTAAAGAATAAAAATAAGAGATAAAAATTGTAGAGGATAAAATAGCTATTTTAAGAAGTCATCGTTGATATGAGGAGTAGAATATTAATTATTCAAAGTTGGAAGATGAGTTTGATTTTTAAAGCAAACTTGGGGAAGTAAATAATTTTCAACTCCGATCCCAATTGCTATCTCAAGTAATTTTCTCTTTACTCTTTTTGCTTCTTAGTTTTTAATTGTTTTTTTCTCAAAATATTTTGAATTGTTAGCATAGTTTCTTAATGAGTATTTGTCACGACCCCAAATTTCCTCCGTAGGATGTCGTAATGGCACCTAGTCTCTAAGACTAGGTAAACCTATCAATGCGGAATAACTGAATATAAACTGAAATTTAATCCTTAACAGTCGAATAAATAAGAACTGCAAATTTAATAATTTCAACTCCCAAAACCCGGTAGGAATAAGTTACAAGCTTCAAATATTTATCCTCAATGTCTCTATACATAAGAGTATAAAGAAAATAAGGAAGAAAACATAATAAGATAGAAGGGGACTTCGGAGTCTGCGGGCGCTGGCAGATATACCTCGAAGTCTTCCCGTACAGTTAATTCATAATATCTCATTTCCTTATATCATCGCGGGAGCCTTTACATTAAATTTTAAAGAAAACAGTTTTTTCGAAATAGCATCCTGCGTTTTAGCCACCCTTATCACACCGCATGATTTCTAGTAGTTCTCCTACTAGCCACGCATATCAAGCCACCCTTATCTCACCGCATGCATTTTAACACCCAGACCATATACCACCGCATGCGTATTAATATCACAATATATCATAATTTACACTTCAAGTGCCCAAATATTTTAACTTGCCAAAAGAAATGAACAACAAGAATAATTTCCACAATAAGGAGCTCACAGCTCAATCACTGCTTCAATTTTCTTCGGATCTACATGGATCCCCTTGTTCATTACCACATGACCCAAAAAATCCTACTGAATCAAGCCGGAATTCACACTTTGAAACTTTTGCATACAACTTCTTTTCTCTCAAAGTCTGAAGCACAGTCCTCACGTGTTGTTCATAATCCTCCCGGCTCCGGGAATACACTAGAATGTCGTCAATAACTACAATGATGAAAGAATCAAGATAGGGCTAAAATACATTGTTCATTAAGTGCATAAATATTGCTGGGGCGTTGGTCAACCCAAATGACATTACAAGGAACTCATAATGACCATAGCGAGTCGTGAAGGCAGTCTTCGGGATATCCGGCTCCCGAATCTTCAACTGATGATAGCCTGAACGTAAGTCAATCTTAGAGTACACTCTGGCACCCTGAAGCTGATCAAATAGGTCATCAATACGTGGCAATAGATACTTGTTCTTCACTGTAACATTGTTCAACTGGCGGTAATCAATACACATCCGCATTGAACCATCCTTCTTCTTCACAAATAAGACAGGAGCACCCCAAGGCGATACACTAGGCCGAATAAAACCCTTGTCAAGAAGCTCCTGCAACTGCTTCTTTAATTTCTTCAATTCTGCTAGGGCCATACGATATATCGGAATAGAAATGGGCTGAGTGTCCGGTAACAAATCAATGCCAAAGTCAATATCCCTGTCGGATGGCATACCTGGAAGATCCGCTAGAAATACATCAGGAAAATCTCTTACTACAAGAACTGACTCCACGATAGGAGTATCAATACTAACATCTCTCATATAGGCCAGATACGCATTGCACTCCTTCTTAACCATTCGTTGAGCCTTAAGAAATGAAACAACACTGCTAGAAACATGATCCAAGGTACCTCTCCACTCTAGCCACGGTAGACCTGTCATAACCAACGTCACCGTCTTGGCGTGACCATCAAGGATAGCATGATAGGGAGACAACCAG